TGAATTTGGCTGAACATAATTAGTTTGTTTAACCGTGTTGGCCGTTTTAGAAGGTTTTTGTTTTCCTATGTTATTGTCACATTAGTTTGTGTCATGTGGAGGCTGTAAAATTCTCTGGCAATTGCATAAGGGAATCAACTGTTATATATCCGACATTATATTGTGGCGTCCCTGGTCGAGTTGTTATGATCGTCAACTTTAAACCACTGTCCATCATCGCACCGATTTGAATCACGCTAAAATTATGTCGTGTGAGTAAGTTTTTAAGTGTACGAAATGTCGGTAGTGCAACTCATGTGCCTAAAATAGTACACATAGTGGCACATGGTGTCTCTTTCAATCAGTAAATGCTGGAAAGTCACTGTCTATTTAAAATAATTATGATAACTACCCTTTCTTAGCCTTTGCCCTTTGTCCCCCCTCTCATATTTTTGTTTGGGGTCCTGTGTGTCTGCATGCTGGCGGGTTATGTTCAGGGATTCGTTCATTGAATGCCGTCCTTCCAAATGGATCTTTGTTTCATATAACATGTACTTTACAAAAATTTACAGTGTCGATGTTACTTAAAACCTAATAAAAGGTAACACATACATGTATTTGTTGCTTCATAACATAATGATGGTACAATTTGTTCGATTCCATCCTGGCACGTACATTTACACCTATTTGAATAATGCAAAGTTAACGTTTGGACATTTTTTTTTGCATTTTACGTTTCTCTTTTGACAGCTGTTTGTGATAAACTGTTTGCTTCTTAACTCCTCATCCCCTCCCTCTGAAAATACTAGTTGTTTAGTTTACTCAGTGTTTACTCGTTATAGTGTAACGGTTAGTGCACAACTATCATCATAAATATAAGTACACTGTTGACAACTGCCTCAAAGAATCAATTATCCACAGCGCTGTTACTTCGTTTTAAAGCGGGTATTTGCGAGTTCTAACCAATGTAGTGTTTTTTAGGTTTTCATCTTTGTTACAAACTGAACCGAAATAGTTTCTGGTTTTGAAACCAAAATGGTTTTTGTTTATATCCGAAACGATGTGTGACTTAAAAGTAAAATTATCTGTCATCATAAATGATGAAGTTCTGAAGAAGGGATATGTTTCGGTTGAGTGCACTAATACGTTATTTACTATTGAGCAATCTCTGACAATTGCATAATGGAATCAACTTTTTGGTCCAGTTGTCTTTGAGTGTGGGCGACATTGCAAATTCGTAAGAATAATATACACTTAATGTTCTGCTTTTCATTTATTCTATATACTTATATTTTAAAGCATTAAAAACAATCTTACAATATTTCATTATGCTTGTATATTTACAGATGTACATATATTTGGTTTTATGAAAGAAACTCAAATCAAAACAAGTCAATAACAAAGACATGTTTACTTGTCAACAGATAAATGCACTATGATAATATTAAACAATTTGAAAGACTGTGTAAAATACAAGTTAAAAAGAGAACTTTATAAATATACGTAGAATATAGAAAAAATGTGAGATCAGAATGAATTGCGGACAATATAAATTCATTATTTGTAAGTTATCAAAGAAAGCTGGTTAGGCGCTCCAGTCGTCGAGATTTGATCAGAAATCGGCATAAAAAACAGACCAACAAACACATAACAATTGCCAAAATAATGTCACAGTAAATAAAGTTTTAGCGACATAAACAAATTATATACATTCTCGGATTACTGGTCTACTAGTTATCAAGTTTCAATAATAGAGCAATTGCAAGACTAACACACACACAAATCAAAATTATAGAAAGGACTGACAAAAACTTTTGCCAGCCATGATTATCACCTTTATCATCTGAACAAAACAATGCCTTAAAAATAGTTAAAATGTTTCTTTTGATGGTCAAGTTGAATATAATGCCTGCCGTACCAAAAATACTTGCTATAACATCGTCTTTGTCGTCTCCTAAGAAACGTAGCACATGGTGTCTTCCTTCACTGTCCAGGCACTTGTATGAAATTAGTACCAAAAGAAATAGATCCATAACTTGAAAACTTGATGTTAAAACATTAAAAAGTAAAGACAGGGTGTCAAATCTTTTCCTTTTTTCGGCTTCTTTATCAGTGTCAAATGGCAGTTCTTTATTTCTTTTTTCTTTTTCTTTGCATATTGATCTATATCCAAAATAATTATCCAGAAAACCGAAAATCATTTTGCATATAATTGACCCCATAAAAATCCAGTGATATTCGTCTAAGGCAAAGTCACAAGCTTTGTTTCCAGTAGCTTCTATTTCAATGTCATTTTGTCGCAGTTCCTCAAAATTGAACCAGTCAAAAACGACCCCAACGACAAAGCACGATGCTCCAGCCAACCATAGAAACCATGAGCAGCACCGTCCCATTATGTTGATATGTTCTCTAAACGGACGAAATATGCTGAAAAAAAGAAACAAAATATCATCATTTGAAAACAGGAATATTAAATAAATGGTTTACGTTGAACAAAATCATTTTAAGATATTTTTTATATATATATATATATATGGATTATATCTATGAATCTATGTTTATATATCTATGTTTATATATATTTATATCTAGTTTATATATCTATGAATCTATATATATATCTATTAAAGTAGATACGTGTAGAAAAGAAAACCATTTTGTTATTAGTTTGATGCATTTTCTAGACTTCAAACTTCGATTATTAAAACATATCATTTAAGGCTGAAATGAAAATATAATACGAAACGAACAAAAAATGGTCTGCAGGCCTAGTTAAGTTTTTCAGCAAAAGATTACATTATTTTTTATAAAATAAACTTCTGCCTTTTTTGTGTATTGAATTTACAACTTACATAAATCTGTTTAAATTGAATAATCAATAGACAGTGTATTTATAGTCAGTTTATAAATAGCATTTTAAATGAATTCCCAGTGCTTAAATAAAGATTTTATGTAAAATCCAAAGATTAGATATAATAGTTCAATTGATTCAATATAGAATCGTACGATTATATTTTGCCTTTTGATTACCAATAACGTAAATTAACAGATAAACATCCTTTCATACGATTAACTGTTAACTTATTAGCGAATTCACATTTGAATCTTATATCTTGGATAATAAGAAATTAAAATATGTTTGACAACGTTAACCAGATGTAACTACAAAATCGATTCAGACATAAGAAAATTTAGCTTAAGTCGAATGATAAACTTTAAAATTAAAAGAACTAAATCAATTTAAACTATTGTACTTTAACATTACATAGAGGATATTTAAGTTTTTTTCCCTATAAATACTATTTTTATTTTCACCTTGTGATATGGAAATCGTTCACGAAACATTTATTTTCATACCAGTCGATTTTATAGAAAATAAACTTATGTTTTTCGTTTATTATATACATTTTTCTCTTTTTTTACATTACAATTTGAAAGACTTCCCCTCAAATTTCGTGTATTGGCTGAAGTTGAAGAAGTTAGTAAAACTACGGAAAATATGGTTCACTGCAGTGAAATAAAAATTACAGAGAAAATACGAAAAAAGAAAATATTTATTTTATTTCATCATTATTTCTCAATCTTTCATTTATAAGTATATTATAAATCAATGACATAGATCATATGCATCGAGTTAAATCTTTTTTGAACACTCAATGCTAAACCTTTTTCAAATCGTTTCACAAAATTAAACACACGACTGTAATGAATATGATCGCATAAAAATAAACGATTTTGAACGACATATTAAGAGTAACCGTTACGAAATATTTGTTTCTTTTTCTCTCTCAATGAATGCATCCATATTAAGTTAAGGAAGTTAAGTTAAAAAAGTAATATTATTTCATTTAAACTTTTATTATTTACAAAAAAAAAAAAAAAAAAGAAAAAAAGAAAAACAAAAGAAAAAAAGAGAGAGAAAAATGAATACTTACATGATGAATATCTTCTGAGTAAACAGAGCGGTTGTTTCAAGATTTTAACGTGTGTAAAGTAATTTTTTCCTTACCAATTTGGATTGCATGGGCATGGTTTGTAAATTGATAGTTTTAATGTCATTAAATTGGTTTTTTCGTTGGATAAACCGCGCATTTTCGAAAAAACGATTTAAAACCACTTTAAATACATGCGTAAGGAATACCACCTATATTATACTTTTTTCAAAACCATTATTAGACCAATGACAAATGCATTTATCAATGAAAAGCAGTTTATACCTGTACTGTATGTCAATAAGTTTAAATCTATATTTAGAATAACTGTAAACTTACTGATATGCGCATTACATTTGTAATTTACAATAATGAAAAATGGTGTCATGTTCCCATTTAAAAACCCAAAGTATAACGTATGTCATTTCTTTTCTAAAAATCAAAGAAAAAAAGTAGAAACATTTCTTTTATTTCTTATAATCTAGTAAATGTTGGCAATGCTTAAACACAAATTACCACCGCTAAAGTCACAAGTAAACACATCCTTATAAATATATTAAGCTTTAGAATAATACAAGCGAGGTTTTAACCCAATCGTAAAATGGCGGCGAAAGAATGATGTAACCCCCACAACATTCACTGCATACTTTGAGAAGGGACGAATAAAATGCTACTTTGAGTCAAGAATGTCTGATAACAAAATGGTATTAAAAGTAAAATGCGTTTCGAGAAGGACATTTCTGTTACGTCTGTACTAGTAAGTGCTCGTTTTATAATGGTCACTTAAGTTGTAGGAAAAGCTAACAAATAATTGTGACATGATTCTGACACGAATTCGAATATATATAAATGCAGTGTTGGCATGCTCTTATTGTCTTAATTGAGTTTTTATAACACCTTGGTCATTGATTTAGTATATCATAATTAAACTGCATATAGACCTTGAGTAAGCAAAGTATCCAGCATAAAAATAATATTCCTTTAAGTTTCAGACATTTCGGAAGTTTAGCATTTCGCCACCATCTTGACAATATGATTAACAACATCATCATGAGACTGACCTTAAATAAGTGTTTCATGGAGACAGGATAACTAAACAATTTAGATTTTAGAAGGAAGTTTATTTTGTTCTATTTTCAATAAAAAGAGGTAGGATTCTAGAACCCAAAAGTTGACACGTTGAATTTTCTAAGCGTTTGCGAGCCCTTGTAAGTTTTTTTTAATAAGCGGCTATTAAAGTTAATTCTGAGATCATCTCAACAAAAATTACAAAACCTAAAAAAAGATGATGTAAATTACTTCTAACAAACTTATTTTCTAGTTTATAAAGGTGAATAGTTGGATAGATAACATAAGTTTGATACCGGTACATTGCTTTCACACGTACACAGATGCTTGTAGTACAATGCAAAACAGTGACACTTAAGATGGAGACGATGTGATGTACGCATGATTTATTTTTAGTTTACTCACACAAGAAGATATTTAGTACAGGTAAAATTCCCTCATTACATAAAATCAAACAGTCTATGCTATTTTGTTATATATGTCTGTCCCATCTTGGTTATCAATTCTAATAATAGTTAGTGTCGAGGACTGCATAGCGCTTAGAACAGATTTACGGTTGGTAAATCTAAATTCATGCACACAACATATGACCAATGGGGTAACGTACGTGTCTTTCCAAAAATAAAAGTACTGCATATCACAATACAAATGGTCGGAGAAAAGTATGCGTAATGACAAAGGCAAGTCTCTAAGGTATATTTTTTTCAATATCAATTATTTCATAATGTGATGTTGAGTTCATGATCCCTCATTTAAACAGAATCTGCAATTTTCATATAATTTGATTTTTTTACTTTCGAGGAATCTTTCTTTGCCTGTCATATCTTTTTTTTAAATATTTCAATTGTATAAATAAGAAATGCTAAACATATGTATTAAATTTGTCAAGTGTAAGTTTTGAAGGAATTTTGAAAGAAAAAACTCAATAATATAAGGTCATTCCAAAGTATGTAAATGTAGCTCAGTATGCTATTTGTTGAACAATTGAGGTCTCGGGACCATCCAACACGTCATTCAACATTAATTTTGTGTAACATCCTTTACTACATGTACACCATAAAACAACATTTTCACCAGACGTAACACATAAATATTATTATACAGAATTCAATTAAAAAATCCGTACATTTGGTTACAATATACAAGTATCAAAGTATATACATTACCATAACTTTTGTTTCAGGACAAAGTCTATATAAATTGTCAATTATTTATAAACATATTTTGTGCCTTAGACTTCTTCTATTACTATTATGTTAACGAGTTTTATATCATATTTCATCTATGAACCATAACGTAAGAAACAAATCTTCAATTGTCAATCAAAGTCTTCACATTTAAACTAATATTCACCTTTAGGTAGTTGGAAATTTAAGTTATTTATGTAATCGTAAATTCAATGTGACTAAATGTATAAAATCATTTATCTTATTTGCTGCGTGTACGATTTGAAAAGGAAATGTACAAAGTAATTCATAGTTCAAATGAGAGCGTAACAACGTGCACAAAATGTACACATTCTCTTAGTGGTTATATTGCTAACAAACGTCATCAAAATGCATTGGAGTTATTGGGAAAAAAATCATATGTCAGTCAAGTCGGATGAGGGATGCAGTGTAGGGTAAAATAATGATAATCACTGTGAGTGCACTGAATTTATTATTCCACCATTACCGTTCTGCTTGACTCTGAAAAATATAATTCATCTTTAGAGATTAAACATCAAACAGTTATTCTAATAGAAATGATATTAGATATCATGTAATCAAAATATTTTGTTTTATGATATTGAATTGAATATGCAAATAAGTAATACCATAAATGTCATGAAATGGTTGGTGAAGTGTATTTTTCAATGTAAAATGTTGTTTTGTTTTGTTGAACCCAGGAATAATTGTACTGTAATGATGTCATGAAATAAAAACATTGTATAATACCATTCACCTATTGATATGTTTTGTCCGTTTACAAAAACCGTTAACCAACTTAAAATCTTCAAACATGCTTTAAATAAACGCAGTTGCCTAAAGAAAATATGCAAAGCATTCCTTACAAGAATACAAGAATAATATTTGCATGACATGGGTTATATAATCTGCAATTATTGTACACTCTGAATTATTGAATAAAAGCACAGTTTCTTGTTTGTTTCTATTTATCCTCCCTAACCCAATTCAATGTGTCATACTTTTGTACGAGCTGTGTATTTGTGATATTCTATATGAGCATGTATATGTTTGAGTGTTTATAAAAGCGTGCATATACATGTGTGTCTATGTTTGTCTGTTTGAATGTATAAATGCTGTTTGAGGTTGTGCCTTTCACCATTGATTGAAGTCTGGTCGAGCCTAACTTATAAAATAAAATAATCCATGAACTTTATTACTCTGTGTAAATATTTATGTTTCCCCATAAAACACTGTTGTGACACGCGACCATGTTTAAAAGTTTATCTTTTATTAGTAATATATATTTACTCCGGTGTTAGTTATGCTGTAGATTATGAAAGGAAAAACCTTTTTTTACTAATGATTTCGTCAACTTGACATGAATTAAGAGGGCAGCAGATTACACATGAAACCGGAAAAGATCTGAATTTATCGTTTATTTGAAATTTTATTCTATTTTCCTTTTCATTTCTTTACCTGGGATCATGTTAGTCAATTACCAACATTTTTCACAAATAACAGGAATAAAATCTTTACTGTAAATGAATTTTGATCCTGGTTTAAAATAAGTCATACGAACTTAAACTTATAAACTTGATGAAAATACATAATTTAATGTTTGTACCTTCTTAACAAATTCCATTGCAATTGGAGTGTCTATGCCCAGTCACAAAGGCCTAGAGATTCTTTAAATAAAAGTCCCGACATACATTCAAATTCCACCCATCTGTACACTATGACACTATTTTCCATCAACTGGTTGCATTTGCAAAACTTCTGGCAGCCAATATCTCTTACGCATAGTTGTGTGAGAGTCAAAAACTGTTCCGCTGTGCAAAACTCTGTGCAAAAATATAATTTATATCAAGTATTTTGAAATGTATTGTAAACTTTTACATTGTTTTAAACTTGCTCTTAGAAGTTGATACATATATAAAAAAGACAATATGGATATATTTCATTCCTTCACTTTTGTTTTATTTTTCTTTAAATGTTCTGCATCAAATTAATCTAATTATTTTCACATAGAAATTATTACTTCTCCATGGCCACTATTTTAAGGGTCATTCCCAAATTTTATATGCCTAAAATACGAAAAAAATTCTCATATTTTTATCATCTTTATGAAAACTGAAAATATGGCTGTAAGCTTAAAAAAAATACTAAAACATCACTTTTTGTTTCGAACTCCATATAATCTTGATAGAAAATAAAAAAAAAACACACTAAAAAAACATAGTTTGGAGTAAAAAAATATTTTACTACATACTTGCCCTACCCAAAACTAGCTTGGGTTCTCGGAATGGAAACAAATAAAAAAATGAAGGCTTGCCCTAAGGTTCTTTGTTTCGCGAAATCAGTTTCAATTATTTTCAATATTTTTTTTTTCTAGAATTTTTACCTTCAAAATTTAGTTTTTATATTTCATGTGAATTACACGAGACATGCCTTACCGCCGGGTACGCAACCGTCAGATCCTCCCGATGCTGCTGCTGTTGCTGCTGTTGTTGTTGGAGGTTGGGGTGCTGTTGTCGTTGTTGTTGTCGTGGTCGGTGCCGTTGATGTTGTTGTTTCTGCAACTGTTCCAAAAAATATAGCGTAAGAAAATATTCAGATATAAATCATACCGAATTGATTTTTCAAATGTATCGAGAAATTTACATTAAATTTATACTTTCCTTGAATTACTTAGTTCTTAGTTCTTAGAACATTGATAATTATATAATGTTTGATATTTAATTATATAAAATTATACGTTAGATTTTATATATATATGTATATCAATTATTATTAATTCAACGTAAATAAATATTCGTTAATAGCATTAAATATTTCTATATAAACATGAAGTTTCAGTGCTGATTATTGAGCACCAAGTGTTAATTTTAAGCGAAAAGAAACTTCTTTTACAAATTGGTACGTTTATTAAGCCCAATGTTGCAAAATCACATTTGTTTTGCCTTTTACCTGTTATGAACGTGCTCAAATTATTTGTTTGTTTGTTTGTTTGTTTCATTTTACGCCTTTCCTTTTCCAACAGTATTTCAGTCATTAAACCATGTGTTCAAATTAATAGTGAAACTACGTTATAAATGTAATTTGTTGTAATTATGGTTCAGCAATTAGCATAAGTTAGTTATAATAAGTTTGTACAAATTTATTTTACAATATAGTTCGATTGTGTTGGAAGCTTTAAGCTAATTGAAACAATCTTGAATCCGTTTCTTGGACCAACCAGTACTAAGCAATGAGTGTAAAAGTTCTTGCTCCCAAAAAGAACGGTTAATCCCTGACGAAATTTAAACCCCAAGGTCAGCAATCCTGAAATTACAAGTCCGCCACGTTAACCTCTCGGCCATGCTACAACTCATACTTAAAAAGTTTATGGAAGAGGGTGAATAAAATTACATTCGAACCCATGGCGAGATTTAAATTGAATAATTATTATATAATTATTATATTTTTTTTTCTTTCAAACCTTATAAAAGATAATTGATGACCCTCCAGCGTTTGAGCCACTTTATGTTCCAATAGAAATCATTATTGAATCCGATCTAATTTATTAGTCCTTTTTTCCATTTCAAGAGTCTAAATATCTATATCAAATGCAAATTGTATCCCATATAGCCTCGTTTCATTGTCAGAGTCTAAACTACCTATACCAATGCGCACTATACCCCACATAGCCTCGTTTTCATGTAAGAGTAACAAATCCTTGTTGTTGTTGAAATTAAGGAATTATGTTAACTTAACATTTAAAATAGCAAGTATTTGGGAAATAACGACGTCAATAGACACAACTGCTTAAATATATCGTACTCGGCTAGCTCCTCTGCAAATATGGGATTGACAGCTGTGAACTCATCCAATTGAACTTAGTATTGTTCTTAACAAAATAAAATTACCAAATTTTATCAAGGCGTTCAATAAATTGAGTTATGAAGCTATACGCATTTAATATTCTATTTAGCATATACCGAAAATAAGTTTTTACAGTAAAAAAGTGATATTTTTATTGATAACATATCACGGGCCGATACTATGACGTTTGTCATTAATATTATGTCTGTATAACGCATATTGAAGTCATGTCAGAATATGAACACGGTCGTGAAGTAATATTTTACGATGTTTTAAAAGCTGCACTGGTGTTCTTATGAAAACTTATTTCATATATCAGAAATAAATCTTATCAATATAACTAATTTGTTTTAAAACCCATATATTATTCAAAACATACACGGAATATTGCGCAGCGTTTCGAATTATCGAATTAAGTGTATTAAATTCGGGATAATCGCTAAAGTAATACATGTATATACCTATGGGAATTTAACACAATTTATTTTGCAAACCATCGTAAACAAAAACAGAATGTACCATTATTATAATATATTAAAACAAATTGAAACGAAATTATGCAAACACAAGTTAAATTTGACATTATAAAAGAATTTGATATTTGAAAGAAGAATGAGTGACTCTTTAATTAACAGTAAATCAAAGGGTAGTAATTCTTGATAATCACAATATCAAATCAAAGTTGACCAAACTCATCATTGTACAGTTGAACTTTCAGGAAATATAAAATAGTCAAATAAATATGAATTCTAAACCAAAACGTTCACTTTATCGGACACATTAAGTCGTAACCAAAGTAACATGCACACTGTTGTCGAATTACGTTTTTGCATCGTTTAATCGTTGATGCAACCTTACGCACTCACCGAATTACTGGTATTTGACCCCATTCATCAATCAGAGCATGAAGAAGTTCAGCCAGTCTAGTAATAAACAGCCGGCATGCCTCTCAAGCTTATCCATCGGGTGCTCAATCGGACTCTTGAAAGTCTAGTGATACAGGGTCATGCACGACTAGTGATGTTAGGACGGTAATTTGTTACAATTCATTATCGACCAAAAACATATAACACCAATGGTGAACAATAAAGAAATTGGCGTTACGACGTCTTAAAGAATGACACGGTATTTTACAGCATTCAGTTTTTTTTACTCTTTTTAAAGTAACAAGAGTAACAGCCGAAGAAATGTCTAACGATTGCATATTCAGTATGTGTCAAACTTATATTGCAAATAAAATATAAAATGACAGATCAACACGGGAGAGTGTCATGCACTAGTACAAAACCACACAACAGTAAACGTAGGCAGCAATACATGTAGTACCAAACCACTTATTAGTAAGGCATCCAGCAAGGCTACAGACAAAAAGGAGAGCACAAAGTTAGAGAAAGAACGTGTTAAAATATTTATAACCAACAAACAACAATTTAATAAGGAAATATATAAATGCCACAATCAACAAAACGTTTTTCTATTAGATAAAAAGTGTTGAAGGAAAAGCGGGTAAGGGCAACGGATACTTGCTGTCAAAATTGCAAATTCAATGGTAGGGAAATACTAACCGTTGACGAAATATAAAACTAATGGTGAAACACAGAGACAGAAGTGTTATCCCATATAAACACCTCAACAAGACATTAAATAAACACAAAGGGACGCTGCCTTAAAACAGTTTATAGCTAACATAATTTCATGTGTGTTTAACCCGATTAAAGGTGCGCCAATCTCACACATAGCCCCAAAAAATTCAAGCAAAAGTTATTACGTAACAAAACGTTAGATATAAAAAACCTCAAATATGGTCTTGTACAGAATTGTCAATGGAAACCTAATGACCATTACAAAATTACTTATAACCTTAACTTATAACCAACAGTTTTGTATTACACTGGAGGTTCCATTTTAACCGCCGTAGGAACACACCTGCGATGTTTCTAAATTCAAAATGTCACCATTTTCTTGATTATATGTTGAATTCTGCTTAAGCCAGTGTTTGCTACAGGGCGTGAACGGTAGCTTGCATTTTTCAGTATGGTCCATGAAAAGATTCAATCAAACCGAGTCTGCAACATTTTTAATTTTGCCATGTTGGGCATCTTTAGGGATTCTGTTTCACTATTTTGTTGGGCTCTTGTGTCGTGTGATGCGTTCATTGAATTCGGCCCTTCTATGTAGATCTTGTTTTTCATATTTTATTCTTTTTAAACCATTACAATCTTGAGGAGTTTGAGTATAAAAATCTAAACATCAAAAACATAATAAACTATTTCATGGTAATTGAAATTAATATTACTGATTGATAGCTTACAGAGGTTAAGTAGATTCAATATGCAAACAAATCTTATCATCTTTTATCAAAATATTTCTGTTAGAAAAAGTACCTGCAGGAATAAACACCTTCCATCCATTTGACGCTTGTACTGAAGGGCCTGGTGTCTGACTGCTAACCTCACATATTTGTCCATCCTGATTGTAATTAAAAGCTTTCATGTTTTCTTGGATTTCAGAATAAGCTGCACATTGAGATAAAGAAATCCCATTTACTGTTTCAAGTACAGTGGTGATTTTCACGTTCAAATCATATAATTGAAATTGTAAACAGAAACAGGTGTGGTTCATTGCTAACACAATACACACACTCAAAGTAAAATATTTCGTATGAAACTGCATGATTTGATGTATTAATTACATAAACGATGTTTTAGCTTTTAATATCTTTAAGTAAATAACATTATTCCTTAAGATTTTTTTTTAAAAAAAATATCCTATGTAAAGACGTACACTCTGCCTACGTGTTTACAGACATATAAAATAATGAACGGAGATGTAATTTGCTTAATTCCGGTAATTGTATTTGTGTTACGCTACTGTGAGAAGTGGAACTGTTAACCATGATTGACAAAGACCGTTACATCAGAGATTGTCACTCTCATAAGGTAGATTTCAAATTCGTTCTCCATATTAATTTGCAATTAAACAAATTAAATATAATAAAAAATAAGTCTACATTTCGTTGAATCAATATCTAGTAATTATAGTGATTAGTTTAGTGGCCTTACTCATATTCCTAATAATTAAAGCCCTCAATGTTGCTAACACGTATTTTAGATACTTGACTTTAATTAAAAACGTTTTTCTTTGTTTGGGTTCGAGATATTGACACGGTATTGGTCTAGCGCGCCGAAAGTAAATAAAATTTATAAGCCATTCTTAAAACCGTTATTATTTGAAAACTATTATATATAGCAATATACTTTCAACCTAACAAGTAATCGAGAGAATTAGAGAATATCTCACCTGGTAATATTGTTCTTATACCCTCGGACACATAACCCTTACATGCCTCTGTATCAAGTATTACTAGTTGAATACATGGACTGGTTATTCTGAGTTTATTTTAACATTGCGTAAATTAACAATTACAATTTTAGAATGGGAGAAGGATGATTAATTAAAATAAAAAAATATGCATTATAAAGTACAAATAATAGTGTACAGTTTTTGCACCAAGTTCAAAAAATTTATAATTTTTTAACACGAGGTTGAAAAGTTTGTTTCTCTACAGTGTGGTGTTTTGAGAATACCAGTACAATCTATTAGAAATAATGAAGAAAACTGAACTGGACAATATACACTCGGGGTCTTATCCTGACGTCACCTTTATTCGCCTTTTATCTAATAGGCTTTACGTACATATCGTATAGAAATGTTATCATTGCTTGCGTAACAATGCCATAATAATTTCATGTAGGGTCATTAATTTTGAAAAGGTGTATGTTTCCCTAAATGAACCTGTCGTGTTTCGATAAGAACACAATTATGTACGCAGTTGGTAGGCAATTATATTGATAAATACCTAATTTAGTTAAATATGTGAAAATTACAAACATTATATCAGTAGAACACATCTTAATAGACACTAATTGAACATCATAAATTGAAGGAACCTGATAAAATCAGATTTTTAGTATAATTTTCGATATTTTCATGTGCATGAGTAAACATTCAGAATCGTGAACGTTATTATTGCTCTCGTTATTTTGGACAAAAATCTATGTCTCTGTAAATTCTTGTGTAAAATAAACTCAGTGAGTTCTAATTAACAATAAACACTTCACAAGAAAATGCAATGAAAACTAAAGACAGCGTAAAATGTTTGTGGGTATAGAAACGTTAAACAGGATTTGAATATCTAAGCAATTTATTTAGAAAGTTATAGAACTGTCCCGTTCATTTTATATTATAACGGCAAGAACTACTTTACATTTCTTAGAACTATGATCATTAAACTTTATTTTAGACAAAAACTTCCGTTTACATATATTATTTTAGAATGGCTAAGTATATTCCAAGACTGTGGTTTGTAATTTTAGAACGCCGAATAAAAAATCTTCTTATATTTACTACTTCCATGTAAATTTTACAGGATGTCACACTGATTTAAAACGGCCTTTGGCTGAAAATATTTGTTCTACCATCTAGTACTAATAAAGTGAACTTGATATCAACGAGCGGAATATTTTTATTACCAGCAAGCTTCCGCTTTCATAAATTACGGAAATATTTTACAAAATTTTACAATCATAATTTTGATTTAATTTCAAAATTCAATAGTGATTTAAAATCTCTTCTGCGACAAGGGATTTGCCAGCCTGGTTTTTATGGCGATGTGATTAACAAACTTCGTAAGAGTTTAGGTCATGGTAATTTTTCTGCTGTTTTTATTAAAATCATTAAACGTTTTATTAAAAGAGGTTATGACCCCACTATTTTAAGACATACTGCATGCTTAGCGTTCAACCCTTTTACAGTTTGACACTACACTTTCCTCTTTTGATCACATCTGACAGACCAAGTGGGAGACTCTATGATGGACAGTTCTTCAAGCCCTTTGGGACTAAATTGTCTTAATGCTCGTCTTCTGCCTTGCTTCGTCGGGCCCTTGTAGGTGATTTTCTCGTTGCTCTGTCTTCCTTTAGGACATTGAGTACTTTTGTTATGGTCATTGGGTTTACATTTATATGTTTCTTCACGGTCATTTTGGTATTTTACTTATTTAACCTTTTGTAACCATAACAACTGTTAGAATTTCACTTGGCGGGGATTTATTTTATTTACACCGTCTCGTTTATAGGAACATGATGGGGCTAAGAGTGAGGTTTGGTGCACCATTAACCGGTTTAAACTCCCCAGCAGTACTTGTGCTGCAGACTGTTCCAAGGCGGCGCCCCTATTTGTTCCTCAGATGTATTTCTATGTTATTTAATACTGTTTTGGTGACACTTTTGCTTGTGTCCCTTGTTGTTTTTTCATCTACGGTAAGTATCTTCCCATTTGCCCCTAGTTTTTGTTTCTTTGATTTACCCACCTCCCCCCTTCACCCGATCTCCTGTCCCCTTCCTCTCTGCCCTTTGACTTTGAGGGCCTATTATTCAATCATTTATTTGTTTTCTTTGAATTCCTTATCAGTTACAAGTTATTTATCATTTTAGTGATTAACCTGTCCGTGCTATGTCTTGTGCCCTGTCCTGTTTTTGTTTGGGGTCCGCCTGGGCTCCTTGCCACTGGTTCTTGTTGCTGGGTCTTTTGGGGGTTGTGTGCATTGAACGCCGCCTTTCCTTGTTGGTCTTGTTTATCATATTTCATTTAGACTTGATAGTAAGTGTGATATTTTATTGACGTGAAATTTGAATTAAACGGAATTGATGACAGATTAATCTAGATAATAGAGACAAATATCCGATTTCCGTTCTCTATGATCTAAGCTACAAAAGTTGACAAAGGCAGAGAAATGGTGATCAGCACAAATTCAGAAGACGATGTATAACGAACCCTACTTGGGATTTTGTAATGGCAGTAAAACATGAAACTTCCAGAGCATCACATGCTTCAGGTAAAACACAGCTATCTCTCTGGAATTGTAAAAAGAATTGATTTAGGACTGTAAGTGTATCTCGTAGTCAGTGCATGTAGTGCAGCAGTTTATACACCTTCAAATGCTAATGTATAAGACGTGATCTCCTTTGCCGCAATTCATGATCTTCAAAAAGGATATTTTCCAAAAGTTCAATTAAGGAAGGAGAACTGAGTGAGGGATTCTGTATTTCTCTATCAGATGCGGCATCTATCTTGTACCAGAAAGATTAAGAGGTTTGGGTATCTTTTCTTCCATGGCATCAGACAACTGCTCTTATTCCCTTTAAGCCTTTGCACTAAAATGGTAATGTGTGTGTAAATTCAAAAGTCATATTTTAAATCTGCAAACAATTTACATTCTCTTCCTTTCATAGCATCTATTGCTCCAAGTATAAGTCTTTGGCTCTGTGCACACTTACAGTGCATAGCAAACAAATTTCAATTGGAACTTCATCTGAAAGAAGCTTTGCTACACTATGTCTTTTTCCCAGATTGACACTAGCACCATCCGACCTTGTTGCAATTAACTTTCTCTTCCTGTCCCAGGCTGGGATTACACTGTCTACTGAAGATTAAATAGCTCGCAAAATTCGCTCAGCATGTGCATGCTCAACTACATTTATACTCAGAAATATATTACGAGGGACGCCTAGCACAGCAACGCTTGCATAATCTGTTTCATGTTTACTAATAGAAACATCTGTGGCATCATCAAACATAATTAAAAGGACATTGATATTTCTAACTAGAGCTAACGGTTCGTTGTGTTTGTATCTATGAAGATTTATTCCGTGAAACGTTTACAAGCTTTATCAGGGAAGACAATACCATTTTTATCTTGGAGGAAAAGCAATAAAGGATACATGATAAATTAAATACACTGTGTTAAAAAGCTGTTACCTGCCTTTTTGGTCTCCATTAAGTTGTTTAAAAGCAACATCAAAAGAACTTATCACTGAAGGCTGACAAACATTAGGACCAGACTGAAACCCAGATCCAGAGGAACATTCAGAAACTATTTCACCAGTGTGTGTTGTGTAAATGCACTGGAGGATGATTTGCCAATTGCAAATTTTTTACATCAAAATGTTGTTGTATTTTATAATAAATTATGCAAAACTATGCAGATTTTCCGTGTGACGGTGCTTTCACCCAAGATGGTGGACTATGAACAGACTCAATGAAACCGAGCCTGCAATATTGACAATTTTGCCGTGTTTGGCCTTCGGAAGGGATTCTGTTTTTTTCTGTACTTTTTACATGTAGGCTTTTGTTAATAAACAAGCGTATTCACTTCAATATTAGTGTCACAAAAAACGTTCAAATCGCCAAAAAACTTTCAGACTCTCGATTTGATTAAGCCTGTAGAAAATCAAGCAACACGGGATCACCAGCAAGGAGTCAAGCAAGACACCAAATATAAAAATAATGAAAAATCCCTGAAGGTATCACAAAACGACAAAATAGAAAATGTGACAGGCTTGGTTTGATTGAGCCTGTTCATGGACAGTACTATGGTATATAGGGCAAATAACCGTAAACACACACTAGCACAGGCACTGGCATATTTAAACATTTCAACATGAAAATAAGCCAGGCATTTTGAAAATAGAATAGCTAAAGAATGCCGCTCGGCGAAAACAACATCTGAAAAACTGATTATTTTTTCATAAGTTTATATTAACCTTATTGTGTGTACAGTCAACGAACTAAAGTGCATTACTAAACTAAAAGCATTATTGACGGCTACGTCAGTCTAATCGAACTAAACACAGCAATCAATAGCAACAAATTACAAAATTACCGTATCAAACAGATCATGTGTAGCAATGCATTGTATGCTTATGTAAAAGTGCAAT